GGAAAAAGGTAACCAAGTGGTGGGGAAAGGAGACCAGACAGTGGGGGAAAAAGGTAACCAAGTGGTGGGAAAGGAGACCAGACAGTGGGGGAAAAAGGTAACCAAGTGGTGGGGAAAGGAGACCAGACAGTGGGGGAAAAAGGTAACCAAGTGGTGGGGAAAGGAGACCAGACAGTGGGGGAAAAAGGTAACCAAGTGGTGGGGAAAGGAGACCAGACAGTGGGGGAAAAAGGTAACCAAGTGGTGGGGAAAGGAGGACCAGACAGTGGGGGAAAAAGGTAACCAAGTGGTGGGGAAAGGAGACCAACAGTGGGGGGAAAAAGGGTAACCAAGTGGTGGGAAAGGAGACCAGACAGTGGGGGAAAAAGGTAACCAAGTGGTGGGAAAGGAGACCAGACAGTGGGGGAAAAAGGTAACCAAGTGGTGGGGAAAGGAGACCAGGACAGTGGGGAAAAAGGTAACCAAGTGGTGGGAAAGGAGACCAGACAGTGGGGGAAAAGGTAACCAAGTGGTGGGGAAAGGAGACCAGACAGTGGGGGGAAAAAGGTAACCAAGTGGTGGGGAAAGGAGACCAGACAGTGGGGGAAAAGGTAACCAAGTGGTGGGGAAAGGAGACCAGACAGTGGGGGAAAAAGGTAACCAAGTGGTGGTGAAAGGAGACCAGACAGTGGGGGAAAAAGGTAACCAAGTGGTGGGGAAAGGAGACCAGACAGTGGGGGAAAAAGGTAACCAAGTGGTGGGGAAAGGAGACCAGACAGTGGGGGAAAAAGGTAACCAAGTGGTGGGGGAAAGGAGACCAGACAGTGGGGGAAAAAGGTAACCAAGTGGTGGGGAAAGGAGACCAGACAGTGGGGGAAAAAGGTAACCAAGTGGTGGGGAAAGGATACCAGACAGTGGGGGAAAAAGGTAACCAAGTGGTGGGGAAAGGAGACCAGACAGTGGGGGAAAAAGGTAACCAAGTGGTGGGGAAAGGAGACCAGACAGTGGGGAAAAAGGTAACCAAGTGGTGGGGAAAGGAGACCAGACAGTGGGGGAAAAAGGTAACCAAGTGGTGGGGAAAGGAGACCAGACAGTGGGGGAAAAAGGTAACCAAGTGGTGGGGAAAGGAGACCAGACAGTGGGGGAAAAAGGTAACCAAGTGGTGGGGAAAGGAGACCAGACAGTGGGGGAAAAAGGTAACCAAGTGGTGGGGAAAGGAGACCAGACAGTGGGGGAAAAAGGTAACCAAGTGGTGGGGAAAGGAGACCAGACAGTGGGGGAAAAAGGTAACCAAGTGGTGGGGAAAGGAGACCAGACAGTGGGGGAAAAAGGTAACCAAGTGGTGGGGAAAGGAGACCAGACAGTGGGGGAAAAAGGTAACCAAGTGGTGGGGAAAGGAGACCAGACAGTGGGGGAAAAAGGTAACCAAGTGGGGGGGAAAGGAGACCAGACAGTGGGGGAAAAAGGTAACCAAGTGGTGGGGAAAGGAGACCAGACAGTGGGGGAAAAAGGTAACCAAGTGGTGGGGAAAGGAGACCAGACAGTGGGGGAAAAAGGTAACCAAGTGGTGGGGAAAGGAGACCAGACAGTGGGGGAAAAAGGTAACCAAGTGGTGGGGAAAGGAGACCAGACAGTGGGGGAAAAAGGTAACCAAGTGGTGGGGAAAGGAGACCAGACAGTGGGGGAAAAAGGTAACCAAGTGGTGGGGAAAGGAGACCAGACAGTGGGGGAAAAAGGTAACCAAGTGGTGGGGAAAGGAGACCAGACAGTGGGGGAAAAAGGTAACCAAGTGGTGGGGAAAAGGAGACCAGACAGTGGGGGAAAAAGGTAACCAAGTGGTGGGGAAAGGAGACCAGACAGTGGGGGAAAAAGGTAACCAAGTGGTGGGGAAAGGAGACCAGACAGTGGGGAAAAAGGTAACCAAGTGGTGGGGAAAGGAGACCAGACAGTGGGGGAAAAAGGTAACCAAGTGGTGGGGAAAGGAGACCAGACAGTGGGGGAAAAAGGTAACCAAGTGGTGGGGAAAGGAGACCAGACAGTGGGGGAAAAAGGTAACCAAGTGGTGGGGAAAGGAGACCAGACAGTGGGGGAAAAAGGTAACCAAGTGGTGGGGAAAGGATACCAGACAGTGGGGGGAAAAAGGTAACCAAGTGGTGGGGAAAGGAGACCAGACAGTGGGGGAAAAAGGTAACCAAGTGGTGGGGAAAGGAGACCAGACAGTGGGGGAAAAAGGTAACCAAGTGGTGGGGAAAGGAGACCAGACAGTGGGGGAAAAAGGTAACCAAGTGGTGGGGAAAGGAGACCAGACAGTGGGGGAAAAAGGTAACCAAGTGGTGGGGAAAGGAGACCAGACAGTGGGGGAAAAAGGTAACCAAGTGGTGGGGAAGGAGACCAGACAGTGGGGGAAAAAGGTAACCAAGTGGTGGGGAAAGGAGACCAGACAGTGGGGGAAAAAGGTAACCAAGTGGTGGGGAAAGGAGACCAGACAGTGGGGAAAAAGGTAACCAAGTGGTGGGGAAAGGAGACCAGACAGTGGGGGAAAAAGGTAACCAAGTGGTGGGGAAAGGAGACCAGACAGTGGGGGAAAAAGGTAACCAAGTGGTGGGGAAAGGAGACCAGACAGTGGGGGAAAAAGGTAACCAAGTGGTGGGGAAAGGAGACCAGACAGTGGGGGAAAAAGGTAACCAAGTGGTGGGGAAAGGAGACCAGACAGTGGGGAAAAAGGTAACCAAGTGGTGGGGAAAGGAGACCAGACAGTGGGGGAAAAAGGTAACCAAGTGGTGGGGAAAGGAGACCAGACAGTGGGGGAAAAAGGTAACCAAGTGGTGGGGAAAGGAGACCAGACAGTGGGGGAAAAAAGGTAACCAAGTGGTGGGGAAAGGAGACCAGACAGGGGGGGAAAAAGGTAACCAAGTGGTGGGGAAAGGAGACCAGACAGTGGGGGAAAAAGGTAACCAAGTGGTGGGGAAAGGAGACCAGACAGTGGGGGAAAAAGGTAACCAAGTGGTGGGGAAAGGAGACCAGACAGTGGGGAAAAAGGTAACCAAGTGGTGGGGAAAGGAGGACCAGACAGTGGGGGAAAAAGGTAACCAAGTGGTGGGGAAAGGAGACCAGACAGTGGGGGAAAAAGGTAACCAAGTGGTGGGGAAAGGAGACCAGACAGTGGGGGAAAAAGGTAACCAAGTGGTGGGGAAAGGAGACCAGACAGTGGGGGAAAAAGGTAACCAAGTGGTGGGGAAAGGAGACCAGACAGTGGGGGAAAAAGGTAACCAAGTGGTGGGGAAAGGAGACCAGACAGTGGGGGAAAAAGGTAACCAAGTGGTGGGGAAAGGAGACCAGACAGTGGGGGAAAAAGGTAACCAAGTGGTGGGGAAAGGAGACCAGACAGTGGGGGAAAAAGGTAACCAAGTGGTGGGGAAAGGAGACCAGACAGTGGGGGAAAAAGGTAACCAAGTGGTGGGGAAAGGAGACCAGACAGTGGGGGAAAAAGGTAACCAAGTGGTGGGGAAAGGAGACCAGACAGTGGGGGAAAAAGGTAACCAAGTGGTGGGGAAAGGAGACCAGACAGTGGGGGAAAAAGGTAACCAAGTGGTGGGGAAAGGAGACCAGACAGTGGGGGAAAAAGGTAACCAAGTGGTGGGGAAAGGAGACCAGACAGTGGGGGAAAAAGGTAACCAAGTGGTGGGGAAAGGAGACCAGACAGTGGGGGAAAAAGGTAACCAAGTGGTGGGGAAAGGAGACCAGACAGTGGGGGAAAAAGGTAACCAAGTGGTGGGGAAAGGAGACCAGACAGTGGGGGAAAAAGGTAACCAAGTGGTGGGGAAAGGAGACCAGACAGTGGGGGAAAAAGGTAACCAAGTGGTGGGGAAAGGAGACCAGACAGTGGGGGAAAAAGGTAACCAAGTGGTGGGGAAAGGAGACCAGACAGTGGGGGAAAAAGGTAACCAAGTGGTGGGGAAAGGATACCAGACAGTGGGGGAAAAAGGTAACCAAGTGGTGGGGAAAGGAGACCAGACAGTGGGGGAAAAAGGTAACCAAGTGGTGGGGAAAGGAGACCAGACAGTGGGGAAAAAGGTAACCAAGTGGTGGGGAAAGGATACCAGACAGTGGGGGAAAAAGGTAACCAAGTGGTGGGGAAAGGAGACCAGACAGTGGGGGAAAAAGGTAACCAAGTGGTGGGGAAAGGAGACCAGACAGTGGGGGAAAAAGGTAACCAAGTGGTGGGGAAAGGAGACCAGACAGTGGGGGAAAAAGGTAACCAAGTGGTGGGGAAAGGAGACCAGACAGTGGGGGAAAAAGGTAACCAAGTGGTGGGGAAAGGAGACCAGACAGTGGGGGAAAAAGGTAACCAAGTGGTGGGGAAAGGATACCAGACAGTGGGGGAAAAAGGTAACCAAGTGGTGGGGAAAGGAGACCAGACAGTGGGGGAAAAAGGTAACCAAGTGGTGGGGAAAGGAGACCAGACAGTGGGGGAAAAAGGTAACCAAGTGGTGGGGAAAGGAGACCAGACAGTGGGGGAAAAAGGTAACCAAGTGGTGGGGAAAGGAGACCAGACAGTGGGGGAAAAAGGTAACCAAGTGGTGGGGAAAGGAGACCAGACAGTGGGGGAAAAAGGTAACCAAGTGGTGGGGAAAGGAGACCAGACAGTGGGGGAAAAAGGTAACCAAGTGGTGGGGAAAGGAGACCAGACAGTGGGGGAAAAAGGTAACCAAGTGGTGGGGAAAGGAGACCAGACAGTGGGGGAAAAAGGTAACCAAGTGGTGGGGAAAGGAGACCAGACAGTGGGGGAAAAAGGTAACCAAGTGGTGGGGAAAGGAGACCAGACAGTGGGGGAAAAAGGTAACCAAGTGGTGGGGAAAGGAGACCAGACAGTGGGGAAAAAGGTAACCAAGTGGTGGGGAAAGGAGACCAGACAGTGGGGGAAAAAGGTAACCAAGTGGTGGGGAAAGGAGACCAGACAGTGGGGGAAAAAGGTAACCAAGTGGTGGGGAAGGATACAGACAGTGGGGAAAAGGTAACCAATGGGAAGGACCAAGTGGGGGAAAAAGGTAACCAAGTGGTGGGGAAAGGAGACCAGACAGTGGGGGAAAAAGGTAACCAAGTGGTGGGGAAAGGAGACCAGACAGTGGGGGAAAAAGGTAACCAAGTGGTGGGGAAAGGAGACCAGACAGTGGGGGAAAAAGGTAACCAAGTGGTGGGGAAAGGAGACCAGACAGTGGGGGAAAAAGGTAACCAAGTGGTGGGGAAAGGAGACCAGACAGTGGGGGAAAAAGGTAACCAAGTGGTGGGGAAAGGAGACCAGACAGTGGGGGAAAAAGGTAACCAAGTGGTGGGGAAAGGAGACCAGACAGTGGGGGAAAAAGGTAACCAAGTGGTGGGGAAAGGAGACCAGACAGTGGGGAAAAAGGTAACCAAGTGGTGGGGAAAGGAGACCAGACAGTGGGGGGAAAAAGGTACCAAGTGGTGGGGAAAGGAGACCAGGACAGTGGGGGAAAAAGGTAACCAAGTGGTGGGGAAAGGAGACCAGACAGTGGGGGAAAAAGGTAACCAAGTGGTGGGGAAAGGAGACCAGACAGTGGGGGAAAAAGGTAACCAAGTGGTGGGGAAAGGAGACCAGACAGTGGGGGAAAAAGGTAACCAAGTGGTGGGGAAAGGAGACCAGACAGTGGGGGAAAAAGGTAACCAAGTGGTGGGGAAAGGAGACCAGACAGTGGGGGAAAAAGGTAACCAAGTGGTGGGGAAAGGAGACCAGACAGTGGGGGAAAAAGGTAACCAAGTGGTGGGGAAAGGAGACCAGACAGTGGGGGAAAAAGGTAACCAAGTGGTGGGGAAAGGAGACCAGACAGTGGGGGAAAAAGGTAACCAAGTGGTGGGGAAAGGAGACCAGACAGTGGGGGAAAAAGGTAACCAAGTGGTGGGGAAAGGAGACCAGACAGTGGGGGAAAAAGGTAACCAAGTGGTGGGGAAAGGAGACCAGACAGTGGGGGAAAAAGGTAACCAAGTGGTGGGGAAAGGAGACCAGACAGTGGGGGAAAAAGGTAACCAAGTGGTGGGGAAAGGAGACCAGACAGTGGGGGAAAAAGGTAACCAAGTGGTGGGGAAAGGAGACCAGACAGTGGGGAAAAAGGTAACCAAGTGGTGGGGAAAGGAGACCAGACAGTGGGGGAAAAAGGTAACCAAGTGGTGGGGAAAGGAGACCAGACAGTGGGGGAAAAAGGTAACCAAGTGGTGGGGAAAGGATACCAGACAGTGGGGGAAAAAGGTAACCAAGTGGTGGGGAAAGGAGACCAGACAGTGGGGGAAAAAGGTAACCAAGTGGTGGGGAAAGGAGACCAGACAGTGGGGGAAAAAGGTAACCAAGTGGTGGGGAAAGGAGACCAGACAGTGGGGGAAAAAGGTAACCAAGTGGTGGGGAAAGGAGACCAGACAGTGGGGGAAAAAGGTAACCAAGTGGTGGGGAAAGGAGACCAGACAGTGGGGGAAAAAGGTAACCAAGTGGTGGGGAAAGGAGACCAGACAGTGGGGGAAAAAGGTAACCAAGTGGTGGGGAAAGGAGACCAGACAGTGGGGGAAAAAGGTAACCAAGTGGTGGGGAAAGGAGACCAGACAGTGGGGGAAAAAGGTAACCAAGTGGTGGGGAAAGGATACCAGACAGTGGGGGAAAAAGGTAACCAAGTGGTGGGGAAAGGAGACCAGACAGTGGGGGAAAAAGGTAACCAAGTGGTGGGGAAAGGAGACCAGACAGTGGGGGAAAAAGGTAACCAAGTGGTGGGGAAAGGAGACCAGACAGTGGGGGAAAAAGGTAACCAAGTGGTGGGGAAAGGAGACCAGACAGTGGGGGAAAAAGGTAACCAAGTGGTGGGGAAAGGAGACCAGACAGTGGGGGAAAAAGGTAACCAAGTGGTGGGGAAAGGAGACCAGACAGTGGGGGAAAAAGGTAACCAAGTGGTGGGGAAAGGAGACCAGACAGTGGGGGAAAAAGGTAACCAAGTGGTGGGGAAAGGAGACCAGACAGTGGGGGAAAAAGGTAACCAAGTGGTGGGGAAAGGAGACCAGACAGTGGGGGAAAAAGGTAACCAAGTGGTGGGGAAAGGAGACCAGACAGTGGGGGAAAAAGGTAACCAAGTGGTGGGGAAAGGAGACCAGACAGTGGGGGAAAAAGGTAACCAAGTGGTGGGGAAAGGAGACCAGACAGTGGGGGAAAAAGGTAACCAAGTGGTGGGGAAAGGAGACCAGACAGTGGGGGAAAAAGGTAACCAAGTGGTGGGGAAAGGAGACCAGACAGTGGGGGAAAAAGGTAACCAAGTGGTGGGGAAAGGAGACCAGACAGTGGGGGAAAAAGGTAACCAAGTGGTGGGGAAAGGAGACCAGACAGTGGGGGAAAAAGGTAACCAAGTGGTGGGGAAAGGAGACCAGACAGTGGGGGAAAAAGGTAACCAAGTGGTGGGGAAAGGAGACCAGACAGTGGGGGAAAAAGGTAACCAAGTGGTGGGGAAAGGAGACCAGACAGTGGGGGAAAAAGGTAACCAAGTGGTGGGGAAAGGAGACCAGACAGTGGGGAAAAAGGTAACCAAGTGGTGGGGAAAGGAGACCAGACAGTGGGGGAAAAAGGTAACCAAGTGGTGGGGAAAGGAGACCAGACAGTGGGGGAAAAAGGTAACCAAGTGGTGGGGAAAGGAGACCAGACAGTGGGGGAAAAAGGTAACCAAGTGGTGGGGAAAGGAGACCAGACAGTGGGGGAAAAAGGTAACCAAGTGGTGGGGAAAGGAGACCAGACAGTGGGGGAAAAAGGTAACCAAGTGGTGGGGAAAGGAGACCAGACAGTGGGGGAAAAAGGTAACCAAGTGGTGGGGAAAGGAGACCAGACAGTGGGGGAAAAAGGTAACCAAGTGGTGGGGAAAGGAGACCAGACAGTGGGGGAAAAAGGTAACCAAGTGGTGGGGAAAGGAGACCAGACAGTGGGGGAAAAAGGTAACCAAGTGGTGGGAAAGGACCAGACAGTGGGGGAAAAAGGTAACCAAGTGGTGGGGAAAGGAGACCAGACAGTGGGGGAAAAAGGTAACCAAGTGGTGGGGAAAGGAGACCAGACAGTGGGGGAAAAAGGTAACCAAGTGGTGGGGAAAGGAGACCAGACAGTGGGGGAAAAAGGTAACCAAGTGGTGGGGAAAGGAGACCAGACAGTGGGGGAAAAAGGTAACCAAGTGGTGGGGAAAGGAGACCAGACAGTGGGGGAAAAAGGTAACCAAGTGGTGGGGAAAGGAGACCAGACAGTGGGGGAAAAAGGTAACCAAGTGGTGGGGAAAGGAGACCAGACAGTGGGGGAAAAAGGTAACCAAGTGGTGGGGAAAGGAGACCAGACAGTGGGGGAAAAAGGTAACCAAGTGGTGGGGAAAGGAGACCAGACAGTGGGGGAAAAAGGTAACCAAGTGGTGGGGAAAGGAGACCAGACAGTGGGGGAAAAAGGTAACCAAGTGGTGGGGAAAGGAGACCAGACAGTGGGGGAAAAAGGTAACCAAGTGGTGGGGAAAGGAGACCAGACAGTGGGGGAAAAAGGTAACCAAGTGGTGGGGAAAGGAGACCAGACAGTGGGGGAAAAAGGTAACCAAGTGGTGGGGAAAGGAGACCAGACAGTGGGGGAAAAAGGTAACCAAGTGGTGGGGAAAGGAGACCAGACAGTGGGGGAAAAAGGTAACCAAGTGGTGGGGAAAGGAGACCAGACAGTGGGGAAAAAGGTAACCAAGTGGTGGGGAAAGGAGACCAGACAGTGGGGGAAAAAGGTAACCAAGTGGTGGGGAAAGGAGACCAGACAGTGGGGGAAAAAGGTAACCAAGTGGTGGGGAAAGGAGACCAGACAGTGGGGGAAAAAGGTAACCAAGTGGTGGGGAAAGGAGACCAGACAGTGGGGGAAAAAGGTAACCAAGTGGTGGGGAAAGGAGACCAGACAGTGGGGGAAAAAGGTAACCAAGTGGTGGGGAAAGGAGACCAGACAGTGGGGGAAAAAGGTAACCAAGTGGTGGGGAAAGGAGACCAGACAGTGGGGGAAAAAGGTAACCAAGTGGTGGGGAAAGGAGACCAGACAGTGGGGGAAAAAGGTAACCAAGTGGTGGGGAAAGGAGACCAGACAGTGGGGGAAAAAGGTAACCAAGTGGTGGGGAAAGGAGACCAGACAGTGGGGGAAAAAGGTAACCAAGTGGTGGGGAAAGGATACCAGACAGTGGGGGAAAAAGGTAACCAAGTGGTGGGGAAAGGAGACCAGACAGTGGGGGAAAAAGGTAACCAAGTGGTGGGGAAAGGAGACCAGACAGTGGGGGAAAAAGGTAACCAAGTGGTGGGGAAAGGAGACCAGACAGTGGGGGAAAAAGGTAACCAAGTGGTGGGGAAAGGAAGACCAGACAGTGGGGGAAAAAGGTAACCAAGTGGTGGGGAAAGGAGACCAGACAGTGGGGGAAAAAGGTAACCAAGTGGTGGGGAAAGGATACCAGACAGTGGGGGAAAAAGGTAACCAAGTGGTGGGGAAAGGAGACCAGACAGTGGGGGAAAAAGGTAACCAAGTGGTGGGGAAAGGAGACCAGACAGTGGGGGAAAAAGGTAACCAAGTGGTGGGGAAAGGATACCAGACAGTGGGGGAAAAAGGTAACCAAGTGGTGGGGAAAGGAGACCAGACAGTGGGGGAAAAAGGTAACCAAGTGGTGGGGAAAGGAGACCAGACAGTGGGGGAAAAAGGTAACCAAGTGGTGGGGAAAGGAGACCAGACAGTGGGGGAAAAAGGTAACCAAGTGGTGGGGAAAGGAGACCAGACAGTGGGGGAAAAAGGTAACCAAGTGGTGGGGAAAGGATACCAGACAGTGGGGGAAAAAGGTAACCAAGTGGTGGGGAAAGGATACCAGACAGTGGGGGAAAAAGGTAACCAAGTGGTGGGGAAAGGAGACCAGACAGTGGGGGAAAAAGGTAACCAAGTGGTGGGGAAAGGATACCAGACAGTGGGGGAAAAAGGTAACCAAGTGGTGGGGAAAGGATACCAGACAGTGGGGGAAAAAGGTAACCAAGTGGTGGGGAAAGGATACCAGACAGTGGGGGAAAAAGGTAACCAAGTGGTGGGGAAAGGATACCAGACAGTGGGGGAAAAAGGTAACCAAGTGGTGGGGAAAGGATACCAGACAGTGGGGGAAAAAGGTAACCAAGTGGTGGGGAAAGGATACCAGACAGTGGGGGAAAAAGGTAACCAAGTGGTGGGGAAAGGATACCAAACAGTGGGGGAAAAAGGTAACCAAGTGGTGGGGAAAGGATACCAGACAGTGGGGGAAAAAGGTAACCAAGTGGTGGGGAAAGGAGACCAGACAGTGGGGGAAAAAGGTAACCAAGTGGTGGGGAAAGGAGACCAGACAGTGGGGGAAAAAGGTAACCAAGTGGTGGGGAAAGGAGACCAGACAGTGGGGGAAAAAGGTAACCAAGTGGTGGGGAAAGGAGACCAGACAGTGGGGGAAAAAGGTAACCAAGTGGTGGGGAAAGGAGACCAGACAGTGGGGGAAAAAGGTAACCAAGTGGTGGGGAAAGGAGACCAGACAGTGGGGGAAAAAGGTAACCAAGTGGTGGGGAAAGGAGACCAGACAGTGGGGGAAAAAGGTAACCAAGTGGTGGGGAAAGGAGACCAGACAGTGGGGGAAAAAGGTAACCAAGTGGTGGGGAAAGGAGACCAGACAGTGGGGGAAAAAGGTAACCAAGTGGTGGGGAAAGGAGACCAGACAGTGGGGGAAAAAGGTAACCAAGTGGTGGGGAAAGGAGACCAGACAGTGGGGGAAAAAGGTAACCAAGTGGTGGGGAAAGGAGACCAGACAGTGGGGGAAAAAGGTAACCAAGTGGTGGGGAAAGGAGACCAGACAGTGGGGGAAAAAGGTAACCAAGTGGTGGGGAAAGGATACCAGACAGTGGGGGAAAAAGGTAACCAAGTGGTGGGGAAAGGAGACCAGACAGTGGGGGAAAAAGGTAACCAAGTGGTGGGGAAAGGATACCAGACAGTGGGGGAAAAAGGTAACCAAGTGGTGGGGAAAGGATACCAGACAGTGGGGGAAAAAGGTAACCAAGTGGTGGGGAAAGGATACCAGACACTGGGGGAAAAAGGTAACCAAGTGGTGGGGAAAGGATACCAGACAGTGGGGGAAAAAGGTAACCAAGTGGTGGGGAAAGGAGACCAGACAGTGGGGGAAAAAGGTAACCAAGTGGTGGGGAAAGGATACCAGACAGTGGGGGAAAAAGGTAACCAAGTGGTGGGGAAAGGATACCAGACAGTGGGGGAAAAAGGTAACCAAGTGGTGGGGAAAGGAGACCAGACAGTGGGGGAAAAAGGTAACCAAGTGGTGGGGAAAGGAGACCAGACAGTGGGGGAAAAAGGTAACCAAGTGGTGGGGAAAGGAGACCAGACAGTGGGGGAAAAAGGTAACCAAGTGGTGGGGAAAGGAGACCAGACAGTGGGGGAAAAAGTTAACCAAGTGGTGGGGAAAGGAGACCAGACAGTGGGGGAAAAAGGTAACCAAGTGGTGGGGAAAGGAGACCAGACAGTGGGGGAAAAAGGTAACCAAGTGGTGGGGAAAGGAGACCAGACAGTGGGGGAAAAAGGTAACCAAGTGGTGGGGAAAGGAGACCAGACAGTGGGGGAAAAAGGTAACCAAGTGGTGGGGAAAGGAGACCAGACAGTGGGGGAAAAAGGTAACCAAGTGGTGGGGAAAGGAGACCAGACAGTGGGGGAAAAAGGTAACCAAGTGGTGGGGAAAGGAGACCAGACAGTGGGGGAAAAAGGTAACCAAGTGGTGGGGAAAGGAGACCAGACAGTGGGGGAAAAAGGTAACCAAGTGGTGGGGAAAGGAGACCAGACAGTGGGGGAAAAAGGTAACCAAGTGGTGGGGAAAGGAGACCAGACAGTGGGGGAAAAAGGTAACCAAGTGGTGGGGAAAGGAGACCAGACAGTGGGGGAAAAAGGTAACCAAGTGGTGGGGAAAGGAGACCAGACAGTGGGGGAAAAAGGTAACCAAGTGGTGGGGAAAGGAGACCAGACAGTGGGGGAAAAAGGTAACCAAGTGGTGGGGAAAGGAGACCAGACAGTGGGGGAAAAAGGTAACCAAGTGGTGGGGAAAGGAGACCAGACAGTGGGGGAAAAAGGTAACCAAGTGGTGGGGAAAGGAGACCAGACAGTGGGGGAAAAAGGTAACCAAGTGGTGGGGAAAGGATACCAGACAGTGGGGGAAAAAGGTAACCAAGTGGTGGGGAAAGGAGACCAGACAGTGGGGGAAAAAGGTAACCAAGTGGTGGGGAAAGGATACCAGACAGTGGGGGAAAAAGGTAACCAAGTGGTGGGGAAAGGATACCAGACAGTGGGGGAAAAAGGTAACCAAGTGGTGGGGAAAGGATACCAGACACTGGGGGAAAAAGGTAACCAAGTGGTGGGGAAAGGATACCAGACAGTGGGGGAAAAAGGTAACCAAGTGGTGGGGAAAGGAGACCAGACAGTGGGGGAAAAAGGTAACCAAGTGGTGGGGAAAGGATACCAGACAGTGGGGGAAAAAGGTAACCAAGTGGTGGGGAAAGGATACCAGACAGTGGGGGAAAAAGGTAACCAAGTGGTGGGGAAAGGATACCAGACAGTGGGGGAAAAAGGTAACCAAGTGGTGGGGAAAGGAGACCAGACAGTGGGGGAAAAAGGTAACCAAGTGGTGGGGAAAGGAGACCAGACAGTGGGGGAAAAAGGTAACCAAGTGGTGGGGAAAGGATACCAGACAGTGGGGGAAAAAGGTAACCAAGTGGTGGGGAAAGGAGACCAGACAGTGGGGGAAAAAGGTAACCAAGTGGTGGGGAAAGGAGACCAGACAGTGGGGGAAAAAGGTAACCAAGTGGTGGGGAAAGGAGACCAGACAGTGGGGGAAAAAGGTAACCAAGTGGTGGGGAAAGGAGACCAGACAGTGGGGGAAAAAGGTAACCAAGTGGTGGGGAAAGGAGACCAGACAGTGGGGGAAAAAGGTAACCAAGTGGTGGGGAAAGGAGACCAGACAGTGGGGGAAAAAGGTAACCAAGTGGTGGGGAAAGGAGACCAGACAGTGGGGGAAAAAGGTAACCAAGTGGTGGGGAAAGGATACCAGACAGTGGGGGAAAAAGGTAACCAAGTGGTGGGGAAAGGAGACCAGACAGTGGGGGAAAAAGGTAACCAAGTGGTGGGGAAAGGAGACCAGACAGTGGGGGAAAAAGGTAACCAAGTGGTGGGGAAAGGATACCAGACAGTGGGGGAAAAAGGTAACCAAGTGGTGGGGAAAGGAGACCAGACAGTGGGGGAAAAAGGTAACCAAGTGGTGGGGAAAGGAGACCAGACAGTGGGGGAAAAAGGTAACCAAGTGGTGGGGAAAGGAGACCAGACAGTGGGGGAAAAAGGTAACCAAGTGGTGGGGAAAGGATACCAAACAGTGGGGGAAAAAGGTAACCAAGTGGTGGGGAAAGGATACCAGACAGTGGGGGAAAAAGGTAACCAAGTGGTGGGGAAAGGAGACCAGACAGTGGGGGAAAAAGGTAACCAAGTGGTGGGGAAAGGAGACCAGACAGTGGGGGAAAAAGGTAACCAAGTGGTGGGGAAAGGAGACCAGACAGTGGGGGAAAAAGGTAACCAAGTGGTGGGGAAAGGAGACCAGACAGTGGGGGAAAAAGGTAACCAAGTGGTGGGGAAAGGAGACCAGACAGTGGGGGAAAAAGGTAACCAAGTGGTGGGGAAAGGAGACCAGACAGTGGGGGAAAAAGGTAACCAAGTGGTGGGGAAAGGATACCAGACAGTGGGGGAAAAAGGTAACCAAGTGGTGGGGAAAGGAGACCAGACAGTGGGGGAAAAAGGTAACCAAGTGGTGGGGAAAGGAGACCAGACAGTGGGGGAAAAAGGTAACCAAGTGGTGGGGAAAGGATACCAGACAGTGGGGGAAAAAGGTAACCAAGTGGTGGGGAAAGGAGACCAGACAGTGGGGGAAAAAGGTAACCAAGTGGTGGGGAAAGGATACCAGACAGTGGGGGAAAAAGGTAACCAAGTGGTGGGGAAAGGAGACCAGACAGTGGGGGAAAAAGGTAACCAAGTGGTGGGGAAAGGATACCAGACAGTGGGGGAAAAAGGTAACCAAGTGGTGGGGAAAGGATACCAGACAGTGGGGGAAAAAGGTAACCAAGTGGTGGGGAAAGGAGACCAGACAGTGGGGGAAAAAGGTAACCAAGTGGTGGGGAAAGGATACCAGACAGTGGGGGAAAAAGGTAACCAAGTGGTGGGGAAAGGAGACCAGACAGTGGGGGAAAAAGGTAACCAAGTGGTGGGGAAAGGATACCAGACAGTGGGGGAAAAAGGTAACCAAGTGGTGGGGAAAGGATACCAGACAGTGGGGGAAAAAGGTAACCAAGTGGTGGGGAAAGGATACCAGACAGTGGGGGAAAAAGGTAACCAAGTGGTGGGGAAAGGATACCAGACAGTGGGGGAAAAAGGTAACCAAGTGGTGGGGAAAGGAGACCAGACAGTGGGGGAAAAAGGTAACCAAGTGGTGGGGAAAGGAGACCAGACAGTGGGGGAAAAAGGTAACCAAGTGGTGGGGAAAGGAGACCAGACAGTGGGGGAAAAAGGTAACCAAGTGGTGGGGAAAGGAGACCAGACAGTGGGGGAAAAAGGTAACCAAGTGGTGGGGAAAGGAGACCAGACAGTGGGGGAAAAAGGTAACCAAGTGGTGGGGAAAGGAGACCAGACAGTGGGGGAAAAAGGTAACCAAGTGGTGGGGAAAGGAGACCAGACAGTGGGGGAAAAAGGTAACCAAGTGGTGGGGAAAGGAGACCAGACAGTGGGGGAAAAAGGTAACCAAGTGGTGGGGAAAGGAGACCAGACAGTGGGGGAAAAAGGTAACCAAGTGGTGGGGAAAGGATACCAGACAGTGGGGGAAAAAGGTAACCAAGTGGTGGGGAAAGGATACCAGACAGTGGGGGAAAAAGGTAACCAAGTGGTGGGGAAAGGATACCAGACAGTGGGGGAAAAAGGTAACCAAGTGGTGGGGAAAGGATACCAGACAGTGGGGGAAAAAGGTAACCAAGTGGTGGGGAAAGGATACCAGACAGTGGGGGAAAAAGGTAACCAAGTGGTGGGGAAAGGATACCAGACAGTGGGGGAAAAAGGTAACCAAGTGGTGGGGAAAGGATACCAGACAGTGGGGGAAAAAGGTAACCAAGTGGTGGGGAAAGGATACCAGACAGTGGGGGAAAAAGGTAACCAAGTGGTGGGGAAAGGATACCAGACAGTGGGGGAAAAAGGTAACCAAGTGGTGGGGAAAGGATACCAGACAGTGGGGGAAAAAGGTAACCAAGTGGTGGGGAAAGGATACCAGACAGTGGGGGAAAAAGGTAACCAAGTGGTGGGGAAAGGATACCAGACAGTGGGGGAAAAAGGTAACCAAGTGGTGGGGAAAGGATACCAGACAGTGGGGGAAAAAGGTAACCAAGTGGTGGGGAAAGGATACCAGACAGTGGGGGAAAAAGGTAACCAAGTGGTGGGGAAAGGATACCAGACAGTGGGGGAAAAAGGTAACCAAGTGGTGGGGAAAGGATACCAGACAGTGGGGGAAAAAGGTAACCAAGTGGTGGGGAAAGGAGACCAGACAGTGGGGGAAAAAGGTAACCAAGGGGTGGGGAAAGGAGACCAGACAGTGGGGGAAAAAGGTAACCAAGTGGTGGGGAAAGGAGACCAGACAGTGGGGGAAAAAGGTAACCAAGTGGTGGGGAAAGGATACCAGACAGTGGGGGAAAAAGGTAACCAAGTGGTGGGGAAAGGATACCAGACAGTGGGGGAAAAAGGTAACCAAGTGGTGGGGAAAGGAGACCAGACAGTGGGGGAAAAAGGTAACCAAGTGGTGGGGAAAGGAGACCAGACAGTGGGGGAAAAAGGTAACCAAGTGGTGGGGAAAGGAGACCAGACAGTGGGGGAAAAAGGTAACCAAGTGGTGGGGAAAGGATACCAGACAGTGGGGGAAAAAGGTAACCAAGTGGTGGGGAAAGGATACCAGACAGTGGGGGAAAAAGGTAACCAAGTGGTGGGGAAAGGATACCAGACAGTGGGGGAAAAAGGTAACCAAGTGGTGGGGAAAGGATACCAGACAGTGGGGGAAAAAGGTAACCAAGTGGTGGGGAAAGGATACCAGACAGTGGGGGAAAAAGGTAACCAAGTGGTGGGGAAAGGATACCAGACAGTGGGGGAAAAAGGTAACCAAGTGGTGGGGAAAGGATACCAGACAGTGGGGGAAAAAGGTAACCAAGTGGTGGGGAAAGGATACCAGACAGTGGGGGAAAAAGGTAACCAAGTGGTGGGGAAAGGATACCAGACAGTGGGGGAAAAAGGTAACCAAGTGGTGGGGAAAGGATACCAGACAGTGGGGGAAAAAGGTAACCAAGTGGTGGGGAAAGGATACCAGACAGTGGGGGAAAAAGGTAACCAAGTGGTGGGGAAAGGATACCAGACAGTGGGGGAAAAAGGTAACCAAGTGGTGGGGAAAGGATACCAGACAGTGGGGGAAAAAGGTAACCAAGTGGTGGGGAAAGGATACCAGACAGTGGGGGAAAAAGGTAACCAAGTGGTGGGGAAAGGATACCAGACAGTGGGGGAAAAAGGTAACCAAGTGGTGGGGAAAGGATACCAAACAGTGGGGGAAAAAGGTAACCAAGTGGTGGGGAAAGGATACCAGACAGTGGGGGAAAAAGGTAACCAAGTGGTGGGGAAAGGAGACCAGACAGTGGGGGAAAAAGGTAACCAAGTGGTGGGGAAAGGAGACCAGACAGTGGGGGAAAAAGTTAACCAAGTGGTGGGGAAAGGAGACCAGACAGTGGGGGAAAAAGGTAACCAAGTGGTGGGGAAAGGAGACCAGACAGTGGGGGAAAAAGGTAACCAAGTGGTGGGGAAAGGAGACCAGACAGTGGGGGAAAAAGGTAACCAAGTGGTGGGGAAAGGAGACCAGACAGTGGGGGAAAAAGGTAACCAAGTGGTGGGGAAAGGAGACCAGACAGTGGGGGAAAAAGGTAACCAAGTGGTGGGGAAAGGAGACCAGACAGTGGGGGAAAAAGGTAACCAAGTGGTGGGGAAAGGAGACCAGACAGTGGGGGAAAAAGGTAACCAAGTGGTGGGGAAAGGAGACCAGACAGTGGGGGAAAAAGGTAACCAAGTGGTGGGGAAAGGAGACCAGACAGTGGGGGAAAAAGGTAACCAAGTGGTGGGGAAAGGAGACCAGACAGTGGGGGAAAAAGGTAACCAAGTGGTGGGGAAAGGATACCAGACAGTGGGGGAAAAAGGTAACCAAGTGGTGGGGAAAGGAGACCAGACAGTGGGGGAAAAAGGTAACCAAGTGGTGGGGAAAGGATACCAGACAGTGGGGGAAAAAGGTAACCAAGTGGTGGGGAAAGGATACCAGACAGTGGGGGAAAAAGGTAACCAAGTGGTGGGGAAAGGATACCAGACACTGGGGGAAAAAGGTAACCAAGTGGTGGGGAAAGGATACCAGACAGTGGGGGAAAAAGGTAACCAAGTGGTGGGGAAAGGAGACCAGACAGTGGGGGAAAAAGGTAACCAAGTGGTGGGGAAAGGATACCAGACAGTGGGGGAAAAAGGTAACCAAGTGGTGGGGAAAGGATACCAGACAGTGGGGGAAAAAGGTAACCAAGTGGTGGGGAAAGGAGACCAGACAGTGGGGGAAAAAGGTAACCAAGTGGTGGGGAAAGGAGACCAGACAGTGGGGGAAAAAGGTAACCAAGTGGTGGGGAAAGGAGACCAGACAGTGGGGGAAAAAGGTAACCAAGTGGTGGGGAAAGGAGACCAGACAGTGGGGGAAAAAGTTAACCAAGTGGTGGGGAAAGGAGACCAGACAGTGGGGGAAAAAGGTAACCAAGTGGTGGGGAAAGGAGACCAGACAGTGGGGGAAAAAGGTAACCAAGTGGTGGGGAAAGGAGACCAGACAGTGGGGGAAAAAGGTAACCAAGTGGTGGGGAAAGGAGACCAGACAGTGGGGGAAAAAGGTAACCAAGTGGTGGGGAAAGGAGACCAGACAGTGGGGGAAAAAGGTAACCAAGTGGTGGGGAAAGGAGACCAGACAGTGGGGGAAAAAGGTAACCAAGTGGTGGGGAAAGGAGACCAGACAGTGGGGGAAAAAGGTAACCAAGTGGTGGGGAAAGGAGACCAGACAGTGGGGGAAAAAGGTAACCAAGTGGTGGGGAAAGGAGACCAGACAGTGGGGGAAAAAGGTAACCAAGTGGTGGGGAAAGGAGACCAGACAGTGGGGGAAAAAGGTAACCAAGTGGTGGGGAAAGGAGACCAGACAGTGGGGGAAAAAGGTAACCAAGTGGTGGGGAAAGGAGACCAGACAGTGGGGGAAAAAGGTAACCAAGTGGTGGGGAAAGGAGACCAGACAGTGGGGGAAAAAGGTAACCAAGTGGTGGGGAAAGGAGACCAGACAGTGGGGGAAAAAGGTAACCAAGTGGTGGGGAAAGGAGACCAGACAGTGGGGGAAAAAGGTAACCAAGTGGTGGGGAAAGGAGACCAGACAGTGGGGGAAAAAGGTAACCAAGTGGTGGGGAAAGGATACCAGACAGTGGGGGAAAAAGGTAACCAAGTGGTGGGGAAAGGAGACCAGACAGTGGGGGAAAAAGGTAACCAAGTGGTGGGGAAAGGATACCAGACAGTGGGGGAAAAAGGTAACCAAGTGGTGGGGAAAGGATACCAGACAGTGGGGGAAAAAGGTAACCAAGTGGTGGGGAAAGGAGACCAGACAGTGGGGGAAAAAGGTAACCAAGTGGTGGGGAAAGGAGACCAGACAGTGGGGGAAAAAGGTAACCAAGTGGTGGGGAAAGGAGACCAGACAGTGGGGGAAAAAGGTAACCAAGTGGTGGGGAAAGGAGACCAGACAGTGGGGGAAAAAGGTAACCAAGTGGTGGGGAAAGGAGACCAGACAGTGGGGGAAAAAGGTAACCAAGTGGTGGGGAAAGGAGACCAGACAGTGGGGGAAAAAGGTAACCAAGTGGTGGGGAAAGGAGACCAGACAGTGGGGGAAAAAGGTAACCAAGTGGTGGGGAAAGGAGACCAGACAGTGGGGGAAAAAGGTAACCAAGTGGTGGGGAAAGGAGACCAGACAGTGGGGGAAAAAGGTAACCAAGTGGTGGGGAAAGGATACCAGACAGTGGGGGAAAAAGGTAACCAAGTGGTGGGGAAAGGAGACCAGACAGTGGGGGAAAAAGGTAACCAAGTGGTGGGGAAAGGATACCAGACAGTGGGGGAAAAAGGTAACCAAGTGGTGGGGAAAGGATACCAGACAGTGGGGGAAAAAGGTAACCAAGTGGTGGGGAAAGGATACCAGACACTGGGGGAAAAAGGTAACCAAGTGGTGGGGAAAGGATACCAGACAGTGGGGGAAAAAGGTAACCAAGTGGTGGGGAAAGGAGACCAGACAGTGGGGGAAAAAGGTAACCAAGTGGTGGGGAAAGGATACCAGACAGTGGGGGAAAAAGGTAACCAAGTGGTGGGGAAAGGATACCAGACAGTGGGGGAAAAAGGTAACCAAGTGGTGGGGAAAGGAGACCAGACAGTGGGGGAAAAAGGTAACCAAGTGGTGGGGAAAGGAGACCAGACAGTGGGGGAAAAAGGTAACCAAGTGGTGGGGAAAGGAGACCAGACAGTGGGGGAAAAAGGTAACCAAGTGGTGGGGAAAGGAGACCAGACAGTGGGGGAAAAAGTTAACCAAGTGGTGGGGAAAGGAGACCAGACAGTGGGGGAAAAAGGTAACCAAGTGGTGGGGAAAGGAGACCAGACAGTGGGGGAAAAAGGTAACCAAGTGGTGGGGAAAGGAGACCAGACAGTGGGGGAAAAAGGTAACCAAGTGGTGGGGAAAGGAGACCAGACAGTGGGGGAAAAAGGTAACCAAGTGGTGGGGAAAGGAGACCAGACAGTGGGGGAAAAAGGTAACCAAGTGGTGGGGAAAGGAGACCAGACAGTGGGGGAAAAAGGTAACCAAGTGGTGGGGAAAGGAGACCAGACAGTGGGGGAAAAAGGTAACCAAGTGGTGGGGAAAGGAGACCAGACAGTGGGGGAAAAAGGTAACCAAGTGGTGGGGAAAGGAGACCAGACAGTGGGGGAAAAAGGTAACCAAGTGGTGGGGAAAGGAGACCAGACAGTGGGGGAAAAAGGTAACCAAGTGGTGGGGAAAGGAGACCAGACAGTGGGGGAAAAAGGTAACCAAGTGGTGGGGAAAGGAGACCAGACAGTGGGGGAAAAAGGTAACCAAGTGGTGGGGAAAGGAGACCAGACAGTGGGGGAAAAAGGTAACCAAGTGGTGGGGAAAGGAGACCAGACAGTGGGGGAAAAAGGTAACCAAGTGGTGGGGAAAGGAGACCAGACAGTGGGGGAAAAAGGTAACCAAGTGGTGGGGAAAGGAGACCAGACAGTGGGGGAAAAAGGTAACCAAGTGGTGGGGAAAGGATACCAGACAGTGGGGGAAAAAGGTAACCAAGTGGTGGGGAAAGGAGACCAGACAGTGGGGGAAAAAGGTAACCAAGTGGTGGGGAAAGGATACCAGACAGTGGGGGAAAAAGGTAACCAAGTGGTGGGGAAAGGATACCAGACAGTGGGGGAAAAAGGTAACCAAGTGGTGGGGAAAGGATACCAGACACTGGGGGAAAAAGGTAACCAAGTGGTGGGGAAAGGATACCAGACAGTGGGGGAAAAAGGTAACCAAGTGGTGGGGAAAGGAGACCAGACAGTGGGGGAAAAAGGTAACCAAGTGGTGGGGAAAGGATACCAGACAGTGGGGGAAAAAGGTAACCAAGTGGTGGGGAAAGGATACCAGACAGTGGGGGAAAAAGGTAACCAAGTGGTGGGGAAAGGATACCAGACAGTGGGGGAAAAAGGTAACCAAGTGGTGGGGAAAGGAGACCAGACAGTGGGGGAAAAAGGTAACCAAGTGGTGGGGAAAGGAGACCAGACAGTGGGGGAAAAAGGTAACCAAGTGGTGGGGAAAGGATACCAGACAGTGGGGGAAAAAGGTAACCAAGTGGTGGGGAAAGGAGACCAGACAGTGGGGGAAAAAGGTAACCAAGTGGTGGGGAAAGGAGACCAGACAGTGGGGGAAAAAGGTAACCAAGTGGTGGGGAAAGGAGACCAGACAGTGGGGGAAAAAGGTAACCAAGTGGTGGGGAAAGGAGACCAGACAGTGGGGGAAAAAGGTAACCAAGTGGTGGGGAAAGGAGACCAGACAGTGGGGGAAAAAGGTAACCAAGTGGTGGGGAAAGGAGACCAGACAGTGGGGGAAAAAGGTAACCAAGTGGTGGGGAAAGGATACCAGACAGTGGGGGAAAAAGGTAACCAAGTGGTGGGGAAAGGATACCAGACAGTGGGGGAAAAAGGTAACCAAGTGGTGGGGAAAGGATACCAGACAGTGGGGGAAAAAGGTAACCAAGTGGTGGGGAAAGGATACCAGACAGTGGGGGAAAAAGGTAACCAAGTGGTGGGGAAAGGAGACCAGACAGTGGGGGAAAAAGGTAACCAAGTGGTGGGGAAAGGATACCAGACAGTGGGGGAAAAAGGTAACCAAGTGGTGGGGAAAGGATACCAGACAGTGGGGGAAAAAGGTAACCAAGTGGTGGGGAAAGGATACCAGACAGTGGGGGAAAAAGGTAACCAAGTGGTGGGGAAAGGAGACCAGACAGTGGGGGAAAAAGGTAACCAAGTGGTGGGGAAAGGAGACCAGACAGTGGGGGAAAAAGGTAACCAAGTGGTGGGGAAAGGAGACCAGACAGTGGGGGAAAAAGGTAACCAAGTGGTGGGGAAAGGAGACCAGACAGTGGGGGAAAAAGGTAACCAAGTGGTGGGGAAAGGAGACCAGACAGTGGGGGAAAAAGGTAACCAAGTGGTGGGGAAAGGAGACCAGACAGTGGGGGAAAAAGGTAACCAAGTGGTGGGGAAAGGAGACCAGACAGTGGGGGAAAAAGGTAACCAAGTGGTGGGGAAAGGAGACCAGACAGTGGGGGAAAAAGGTAACCAAGTGGTGGGGAAAGGAGACCAGACAGTGGGGGAAAAAGGTAACCAAGTGGTGGGGAAAGGATACCAGACAGTGGGGGAAAAAGGTAACCAAGTGGTGGGGAAAGGATACCAGACAGTGGGGGAAAAAGGTAACCAAGTGGTGGGGAAAGGATACCAGACAGTGGGGGAAAAAGGTAACCAAGTGGTGGGGAAAGGATACCAGACAGTGGGGGAAAAAGGTAACCAAGTGGTGGGGAAAGGATACCAGACAGTGGGGGAAAAAGGTAACCAAGTGGTGGGGAAAGGATACCAGACAGTGGGGGAAAAAGGTAACCAAGTGGTGGGGAAAGGATACCAGACAGTGGGGGAAAAAGGTAACCAAGTGGTGGGGAAAGGATACCAGACAGTGGGGGAAAAAGGTAACCAAGTGGTGGGGAAAGGATACCAGACAGTGGGGGAAAAAGGTAACCAAGTGGTGGGGAAAGGATACCAGACAGTGGGGGAAAAAGGTAACCAAGTGGTGGGGAAAGGATACCAGACAGTGGGGGAAAAAGGTAACCAAGTGGTGGGGAAAGGATACCAGACAGTGGGGGAAAAAGGTAACCAAGTGGTGGGGAAAGGATACCAGACAGTGGGGGAAAAAGGTAACCAAGTGGTGGGGAAAGGATACCAGACAGTGGGGGAAAAAGGTAACCAAGTGGTGGGGAAAGGATACCAGACAGTGGGGGAAAAAGGTAACCAAGTGGTGGGGAAAGGATACCAGACAGTGGGGGAAAAAGGTAACCAAGTGGTGGGGAAAGGAGACCAGACAGTGGGGGAAAAAGGTAACCAAGGGGTGGGGAAAGGAGACCAGACAGTGGGGGAAAAAGGTAACCAAGTGGTGGGGAAAGGAGACCAGACAGTGGGGGAAAAAGGTAACCAAGTGGTGGGGAAAGGATACCAGACAGTGGGGGAAAAAGGTAACCAAGTGGTGGGGAAAGGATACCAGACAGTGGGGGAAAAAGGTAACCAAGTGGTGGGGAAAGGAGACCAGACAGTGGGGGAAAAAGGTAACCAAGTGGTGGGGAAAGGAGACCAGACAGTGGGGGAAAAAGGTAACCAAGTGGTGGGGAAAGGAGACCAGACAGTGGGGGAAAAAGGTAACCAAGTGGTGGGGAAAGGATACCAGACAGTGGGGGAAAAAGGTAACCAAGTGGTGGGGAAAGGATACCAGACAGTGGGGGAAAAAGGTAACCAAGTGGTGGGGAAAGGATACCAGACAGTGGGGGAAAAAGGTAACCAAGTGGTGGGGAAAGGATACCAGACAGTGGGGGAAAAAGGTAACCAAGTGGTGGGGAAAGGATACCAGACAGTGGGGGAAAAAGGTAACCAAGTGGTGGGGAAAGGATACCAGACAGTGGGGGAAAAAGGTAACCAAGTGGTGGGGAAAGGATACCAGACAGTGGGGGAAAAAGGTAACCAAGTGGTGGGGAAAGGATACCAGACAGTGGGGGAAAAAGGTAACCAAGTGGTGGGGAAAGGATACCAGACAGTGGGGGAAAAAGGTAACCAAGTGGTGGGGAAAGGATACCAGACAGTGGGGGAAAAAGGTAACCAAGTGGTGGGGAAAGGATACCAGACAGTGGGGGAAAAAGGTAACCAAGTGGTGGGGAAAGGATACCAGACAGTGGGGGAAAAAGGTAACCAAGTGGTGGGGAAAGGATACCAGACAGTGGGGGAAAAAGGTAACCAAGTGGTGGGGAAAGGATACCAGACAGTGGGGGAAAAAGGTAACCAAGTGGTGGGGAAAGGATACCAGACAGTGGGGGAAAAAGGTAACCAAGTGGTGGGGAAAGGATACCAAACAGTGGGGGAAAAAGGTAACCAAGTGGTGGGGAAAGGATACCAGACAGTGGGGGAAAAAGGTAACCAAGTGGTGGGGAAAGGATACCAGACAGTGGGGGAAAAAGGTAACCAAGTGGTGGGGAAAGGAGACCAGACAGTGGGGGAAAAAGGTAACCAAGTGGTGGGGAAAGGATACCAGACAGTGGGGGAAAAAGGTAACCAAGTGGTGGGGAAAGGAGACCAGACAGTGGGGGAAAAAGGTAACCAAGTGGTGGGGAAAGGAGACCAGACAGTGGGGGAAAAAGGTAACCAAGTGGTGGGGAAAGGATACCAGACAGTGGGGGAAAAAGGTAACCAAGTGGTGGGGAAAGGATACCAGACAGTGGGGGAAAAAGGTAACCAAGTGGTGGGGAAAGGAGACCAGACAGTGGGGGAAAAAGGTAACCAAGTGGTGGGGAAAGGATACCAGACAGTGGGGGAAAAAGGTAACCAAATGGTGGGGAAAGGATACCAGACAGTGGGGGAAAAAGGTAACCAAGTGGTGGGGAAAGGAGACCAGACAGTGGGGGAAAAAGGTAACCAAGTGGTGGGGAAAGGAGACCAGACAGTGGGGGAAAAAGGTAACCAAGTGGTGGGGAAAGGATACCAGACAGTGGGGGAAAAAGGTAACCAAGTGGTGGGGAAAGGATACCAGACAGTGGGGGAAAAAGGTAACCAAGTGGTGGGGAAAGGAGACCAGACAGTGGGGGAAAAAGGTAACCAAGTGGTGGGGAAAGGATACCAGACAGTGGGGGAAAAAGGTAACCAAGTGGTGGGGAAAGGATACCAGACAGTGGGGGAAAAAGGTAACCAAGTGGTGGGGAAAGGATACCAGACAGTGGGGGAAAAAGGTAACCAAGTGGTGGGGAAAGGATACCAGACAGTGGGGGAAAAAGGTAACCAAGTGGTGGGGAAAGGATACCAGACAGTGGGGGAAAAAGGTAACCAAGTGGTGGGGAAAGGATACCAGACAGTGGGGGAAAAAGGTAACCAAGTGGTGGGGAAAGGAGACCAGACAGTGGGGGAAAAAGGTAACCAAGTGGTGGGGAAAGGAGACCAGACAGTGGGGGAAAAAGGTAACCAAGTGGTGGGGAAAGGAGACCAGACAGTGGGGGAAAAAGGTAACCAAGTGGTGGGGAAAGGATACCAGACAGTGGGGGAAAAAGGTAACCAAGTGGTGGGGAAAGGATACCAAACAGTGGGGGAAAAAGGTAACCAAGTGGTGGGGAAAGGATACCAGACAGTGGGGGAAAAAGGTAACCAAGTGGTGGGGAAAGGATACCAGACAGTGGGGGAAAAAGGTAACCAAGTGGTGGGGAAAGGATACCAGACAGTGGGGGAAAAAGGTAACCAAGTGGTGGGGAAAGGATACCAGACAGTGGGGGAAAAAGGTAACCAAGTGGTGGGGAAAGGATACCAGACAGTGGGGGAAAAAGGTAACCAAGTGGTGGGGAAAGGATACCAGACAGTGGGGGAAAAAGGTAACCAAGTGGTGGGGAAAGGAGACCAGACAGTGGGGGAAAAAGGTAACCAAGTGGTGGGGAAAGGATACCAGACAGTGGGGGAAAAAGGTAACCAAGTGGTGGGGAAAGGATACCAGACAGTGGGGGAAAAAGGTAACCAAGTGGTGGGGAAAGGAGACCAGACAGTGGGGGAAAAAGGTAACCAAGTGGTGGGGAAAGGATACCAGACAGTGGGGGAAAAAGGTAACCAAGTGGTGGGGAAAGGATACCAGACAGTGGGGGAAAAAGGTAACCAAGTGGTGGGGAAAGGATACCAGACAGTGGGGGAAAAAGGTAACCAAGTGGTGGGGAAAGGATACCAGACAGTGGGGGAAAAAGGTAACCAAGTGGTGGGGAAAGGATACCAAGCCGTGGAGGGATAGGAGGCTAGACAGAGGGGGGATTGATGATTTGAAGTAAGGTGAATGTAAGACCAACAGATGATCTGCTATGTGGGAGAAACAAATGCTAGAGGTGGGCAAGGGAAGGTGTGCAAAAGGGATGAAACACGTTGCAAGGTGGGGGAACGGGATGGAGTGCTAAGAGGGATATCGGGATGCAAGTGGGGGGAGAGGGATGGTTTAGGTGTGGGGGGGATGGAAGAAGGGGAGTGATGGGAGAAAGAGGATGGGATCATGTGCCATGGTTCCTTCCTATACCTATAGTCGGGTTTGGCGCGCACGAAGGTGTACTGGCTGGTAGCGGTGCAGGGCTTCCCGGAGCGCACGTTCAAATCCTCCCACACAGAGTGCTGGGGGACAGGGGGGAGAGGGAGATGGAGGGGGAGTAGAGGAGATGGTGAAAATCAAAACATGGTGGGGTGTAGTGAAGACTTCAAACTAAGGAGGCCATGAGTGGCGGGAAGGAGGACCTGCAGCGGGGGGAAAGGAAGGCAGGCAGTGGGGGGAAAGGAGAAGAGGCATTGGGGGGAAAGGAGAAGAGGCATTGGGGGGAAAGGAGGATATGCATTGGGAGGAAAGGAGGACAATGGGGGGAAGTAAGACTGTGGGGGGTAAGGAAGGCAGGAAACAACCGTGGGGTCGGTGTGAGTGAACTGGGGGGGAAAGGAATGCAAACAGGGGGTTAGCGGATGGCAAGCAAGGGGGAGATACGCAATAAAATAGGGATGGGTTTAGGGGGGGCGGAATGCGAGGAAGGCAGATAGTGGGGGGAAAGAAGAACTGCAGTGGGGGAAATGAAAGGCAGGCAGTGAAGGGAAACGAGGCCAGATAGTGGGGGGAAAGAAGACCTGCAGTGGGGGGAATGAAAGGCAGGCAGTGAAGGGAAACGAGGCCAGATAGTGGGGGGAAAGAAGACCTGCAGTGGGGGGAATGAAAGGCAGGCAGTGAAGGGAAACGAGGCCAGATAATGGGGGGAAAGAAGACCTGCAGTGGGGGGAATGAAAGGCAGGCAGTGAAGGGAAACGAGGCCAGATAGTGGGGGGAAAGAAGACCTGCAGTGGGGGGAATGAGAGGCAGGCAGTGAAGGGAAACGAGGCCACATAGTGGGGGGAAAGAAGACCTGCAGTGGGGGGAATGAAAGGCAGGCAGTGAAGGGAAACGAGGCCACATAGTGGGGGGAAAGAAGACCTGCAGTGGGGGGAATGAAAGGCAGGCAGTGAAGGGAAACGAGGCCAGATAGTGGGGGGAAAGAAGACCTGCAGTGGGGGGAATGAAAGGCAGGCAGTGAAGGGAAACGAGGCCAGATAGTGGGGGGAAAGAAGACCTGCAGTGGGGGGAATGAAAGGCAGGCAGTGCAGTGAAACGAGGCCAGGTAATGTCGTGAGTGAGTGAGGCATGGCACTTGCTTGTGACTCTGCCTTTTGTCACGGATTGTACCCATTGGGCACACCATGGCATGCAACGCACGGAGTGCTATGAGGGGGAAACGGAGAGCTATGAGGGGGAAACGGAGTGCTATGAGGGGGAAACGGAGTGCTATGAGGGGGAAACGGAGAGCTATGAGGGGGAAACGGAGTGCTATGAGGGGGAAACGGAGTGCTATGAGGGGGAAACGGAGTGCTATGAGGGGGAAACGGAGTGCTATGAGGGGTAAACGGAGTGCTATGAGGGGGAAACGGAGTGCTATGAGGGGGAAACGGAGTGCCGGCAGGGGGAAACGGGATGCTATAAGGGGGAAACGGGATGCTAAGGGGGAAACGGAGTGCTATGAGGGGGATACGGAGTGCTATGAGAGGAAATCGGAGTGCTATGAGGGGGAAACGGAGTGGTATGAGGGGGAAACAGAGTGCTACGAGGGGGAACGGGATGCTATGAGGGGGAAACGGGCTGCTATAAGGGGGAAATGGGCCCTCATGAGGGGGAAACGGGATTCTAAGAGGGGGAAACGGGATGCTATGATGAGGGAGAAACGGGATGCTATGTTTTGGAACGCGGAATGCTCTAACGGGAGAACTCGAATGATATGCCTAAGCTCACATAATGCCAGGGTGCGGGAATCGCGTGATGCATGCCGTCACTTCCTAATTTACCGCGCCATGTCTGGGGAATGGTATGGCCAGACAGATTGTACCAGAGATTTACATTGTTCATACGTCAAACACTAAATGTTAGGAAAGGGAGTGCTAGTTTGGAAGGGTCGGGCTCGAAAACCGAATCATGCGAACACGAGCGGTTTGGTTCAACGTGTGTTCCGCTGTGGAGTGGTAATAGGTGTTCGTGGGTCGACATCGGTACCTGATGAATTTCGGCGATTTGGCTGCTATGAGTACAGCCTCACGATAATTCGTCGCTGAAGAAGTTGCGTCGTCGTTTCTTGCTGACACTCTAAAATAACACCCAAGTGCCTTTCTTATTCAACGGCAGACTAGTTCGTCAGAGAGTTCGTGAACATTGAGCATGGTGGGAGAAGCTATGAGACAAGGGCCGTTAGACAGTGCGCGCGCCGTGGCCTAAACCCGGCTAGCCACAAGGCGTTTGGTTGGTAAGATAACTATTGTACTCATAAAGGCCTCTATCGGCGTGTGGTGTGTGTTGTGTTTCTTGATGTCGAGAGAAAATTGTGGCCGTGGTTTGTTGTGGGTGCGCTGCGCAGGTCAAGTTCCTCCCCCCCTCGCTTTCCCTTCCCCTTGCGCACATTTGTGACCCTTGCCTTCCTTCCCCCCTACGCATTTCGCACTCATTTCGTTTTTTTCGTCACGGCATGTTCAACCTGTTTTGTCTCGCACCACTGAACCCACTTCGCGCAGGGCTGACGTCAGCACTGTTCCTTTGCCAAAAGTGCACCGTCGCTTTAACGAGAGAACAAATTGTTTAGAATGAGAACATACAGCATGGTATATGCAGATATGTACCCTATATAGTGTACCTCGACCTAGACTACAATAATACACCAACAAACATACGGTAAGTATGTGCGTTGACACACCCCCTAGGCTAGGTATGGGGCAGTGCTTAGTACCGGTTAGTGAGATACAACTCAGTGCGGGTACTAGTCCAGCCATTGAGGCAAGAGGTCAGAAGGCCAGTAGCAAGAACAATTTAAGGTACAACTCAGGGCGGTACTACCGTAAGATATCACAGTGCTAGGATCGATCCTAGGTCCTAGGCCTGTCACTACCCCTGCTGACTGCGCGCAACCCTGCCCCGTGCGCTCCTACTGCCCGCGCGCCCCTGCTGCCCGCGCGCCCCTGTCAGAATGTTATATTGTCTAATCTGCAGTGGGGTACTCAGTAGTGAGTACACCCCTGTTAGGGTTTCATATTTGTATCCCCTCTGCTTGCTAGTTCAACCCCTCTTCTTCCATTTCTCCTTCCTAAAACCTAAGCCCTAACTTGGCTTAGGATTCTAACATGCTATCAGAGCGACTACGCTCCTGGCCTGTGGGCCCAACTGCTTCCGCTGCTGTACTAGCGCGCGACGTTTTTTCTTCCCGCCGCGCGCTCGAGGCGCGTGGCGGTTTTCTGCCCGCCACGCGCTCGGGGCGCGTGGCGGTTTCCTGCCCGCCGCACGCCCCGGGCGTGCGCGGCGGTTTCACGCCCCGTCGTCCGTCGCGGCACCCCCAGGGACCCGCGCGCCGCCCCCCCGTCGCCTATCGCGGCGCCCCCGGGGACCAGCGCGCCGCCCCCGTCGTTCGTCGCGGCACCCCCGGGGACCCGCGCGCCGCCCCCGTCGTCCGTCGCGGCGCCCCGGGGGACTGTCGCGCCGTCCCCGTCGTCCGTCACGGAGCCCCCGGGGACCCGCGCGCAGCCCCCCGTCGAGCCGCCCCCGTCGTCCGTCGCGGCGCCCCCTGTCAAAGTATATGCATCTTGTATATGTGTAGGCTGTAGTGGGGTAGCCAATATGAGGTACAGCCCCTTTTAGGGTTTCATACTTGTACCCAACTCTTTTATAGTTCATTCATTTTCCTGTCTCTTGATTCTGACATGGTTTCAGAGCAGTAGGTCCGTAGGACCGTTTTTTTTTTCGGGCCCACCTACCGCTACCCCACGACTGTGACTGTGACTGACTGTGCCTGTGACGTGCTGCGCTGCGCGCGCCGTCTGCCTGCTGCCTACTGTCTGCTGACTATGCGATCTGCTGCTGCTTAGAGCGCGCAGACCTAATTCCTGCGCGCGGCTCGTTTTTTGCCCACCGCGTCGCCCACCCTGCCCGAGTCGCACCTCAGCAGCCCGCGCGCGGCTCGCTGCTGCTTCGCGCGCCGCGTCTGCAGCCCGCGCGGCGCGTTGCAGCCCCGCGCGTCGCGACAGCTGCCCGCGCGTCGCGCTGCAGCCCCGCGCGCCGCGACCGCTGCCCGCGCGTCGCGCTGCAGCCCCACGCGCCGCGCGCACTGCCCGCGCGACGCGCTGCAGCCCCGCGCGCCGCGACCGCTGCCCGCTCGTCGCGCTGCAGCCCCGCGCGCCGCGACCCACCTGCTTCTGCCGCGGCCGCGCCCTGCCGCCGACACGGCCCCGCCCGGACGCTGACGCAGCCCCGCCAGCCCTGCAGCTGACGCGGCCCCGACCTGCCGCTGACGCGGCCCCGCCCTGCAGCGGACACGACCCCGACCTGCCGCTGCCGCGGCCTCGCCCTGCAGCTGATGCGGCCCCGCCCTGCAGCTGCCGCGGCCCTACTCTGCAGCTGCTGCTGCGGCCCCGCCGTCGCCGCCGTCGTGCGCCTCCCCTGCCGCCGCCCGCCGAGAGCCGGCCCTGCCCGCCACTGGTGAGCACCTGCCTTGTTCGCGCACTGCAGCGCCCTCTGCCTGCCTGTCTACCTGCCTGCCACTCCTGCCACGCCTGCCCTGCCCGAGCTGCTGCTGCTACTGTTGCTACTGTTGCTACTGGCGGTGGCCAGATGCAGCTCCAGCGACGCCCGCGCGAGTCTCTCACGCCTCAGCAGCTTCGTGAGTGGTACGCTAGTTGGGGTTGTGGCGGTAGCCATCGTGACTGTCGCCCTGGAGCTGGTCGGTCGGGAGCGTCTGGCAGTGGCCAGCTGCAGCTGCAGCGGCGTCCGCACGAGACACTTACGTCCCGGCAGCTTCACGAGTGGTACGCTCAGAGTCAAGGGTCTCGGAGTACCGTTCGCTGCCCGTACGTCCCACGCACAGGTGATCGGTCTGGTCAGGCTTGCGGGACACTTGGTCACACCCAGTCCCGCTGCTTCGCCCGTCTGAGCGACGCCTGGCGCACAGAGTTTGGTGACGAGGCTGAGCTCCCCACCTGGCTGGAGCTGCTTGGGCAGGGGGTAGATATCTTTGCTCTTGACTATGATGCTATTCTCACTGCCATGTATGCATTGCCTACTAGTGATGACCGTGCCTGTTCCCTGTGCGTACCGCCTGACCCAGGTATAGAGGCTGCTGCTCTAGGTGCTAGTGCGTCTCCTGCGCTAGGTGCTGGTGAGGCTGCTGCTCTAGGTGCTCGTGCGTCTCCTGCTCCAGGTGCTGGTGAGTCTGCTCTCTCTGGTACTGCGCCTGCTGAGGCCGTGTACACCTTCACACTTGACTCAGGTGCTTCCCGCTCCTTCTTTCGCGACAGCACCACACTCACGCCGCTCGGTCGGCCAGTTGCAGTCTCACTGGCAGACCCCTCTGGGGGTCCAGTCCTTGCGCACTCCTCCATGGTCCTGCCGTGTCCGGCGGTCCCGTTTGGCTCCCTGTCAGGTCTTCACCTCCCCTCGTTCTCTACGAACTTGGTGAGTGGAGCTGACCTACAGGATGTGTGGGTTGACCAGTTCACCCCTGGAGGTCAGCGTGTGACCCACTGTACGTGCTCCCGGACTGGTCGGCACCTGGCCAGGTTCACCCGAGAGCCTGGCTCGAGTCTGTACACACTGACCACTGTGTCCCCTCAGGTAGCTGCGTCTGCGTCTGCGTTTGCGTCAGGTTAGCTAGCAGCCCCCTGTTCGTGTCGCGCTTTGTCGCACCAGACCGTCCTGTGGCACAACTGCCTTGGTCACCCCTCGGTGCAGCGCCTTCGTCGCATGCACAGCCGTTTCCTTGTCTCTGGACTTCCAGAGACCCTGCCTCCTCTACCGCCCTCGCCTGCTCCTCCCTGTCTTCCCTGTGTCGAGGGGCGGCAGCGCGCCGCTCCTCACTCCTCCTCGTTCCCTCCCACAGAGGCTCCCTTGCAGACTCTCCACCTGGACGTGTGGGGCCCAGCCCGCGTCCGTGGACAGGGCCACGAGCGGTACTTCCTGCTGGTCGTCGACGACTACACGCGTTACACCACGGTCTTCCCCTTGCGCAGCAAGGGGGAGGTCCCTGATGTTTTGATCCCCTGGATCCGCGATACTCGTCTCCAGCTCCGCGAGCGTTTCCAGTCGGACTTTCCTGTCCTGCGTCTGCACTCTGATAGAGGTGGTGAGTTCTCCTCAGACCTCTTGGCAGCCTACTGTGCGGAGCACGGCATCCGCCAGTCGTTCACGCTTCCGGCCTCTCCGCAGCAGAATGGGGTTGCTGAGCGCCGCATTGGCTTAGTCATGGAGGTCGCTCGTACCTCCATGATCCATGCGGCTGCCCCCCATTTTCTGTGGCCGTTTGCGGTCCGGTACGCCGCGCATCAGCTCAACCTCTGGCCCCGTGTCTCCTTGCCGGAGACCTCGCCCACACTGCTGTGGACGGGGAAGGTTGGCGATGCGTCGCGTTTCCGGGTCTGGGGTGCTCGTGCCTTTGTCCGCGATACCACCGCGGACAAGCTCTCCGCCCGCGCTGTTCCCTGTGTCTTCCTTGGCTTTGTCCCTGACGCGCCTGGTTGGCAGTTTTACCACCCCACCTCGCGCCGTGTCTTCCCCTCTCAGGACGTCACGTTCGACGAGTCGGTTCCCTTTTACCGTCTCTTCCCCTACCGCACTGCCCCTCTCCCCCCCCCGCCGCTCTTC